GGGGGGGGGGGGGGGGGGGGGGCGGGAAGGAAGGGGTTTCTGGGCGGATAAGAAATTATGGTCTATGTAAATTCATAACTCTTCAGATCAGCTTCTGTATTGTTAGGTTGCCTTATTTTGTTACTTTCATTACCTTTACTTTTTCCTGTGCTTAGAGTGGCGTTTTTTGCTAATTTTCAGGGGGATTGTAATGTATTGTAGATTTTACACATTGTGGCTTCTTGTTCACACGGGATAGCTTTTGGTGGCGCTACGAAGGGCGGTCCGTTATAGTGTGAACACCTATCCGATGTGTGACTCTCCGCTTTAGAGATGGGGGCGGCGCAGCTTCGCTCCCTTAATAGGGACTTTAAGATCCAACTACGCCACGGCGACAAGAACGTCGCTTAAAAAGTGAATTTGCCTTCTTTCAGTCTTTACTACGATTATTCCTACCCACTTACTTTGTCAATTGTAGGCGAACCCTCCTGAAGCTGAATTCCAAGGGACCATATTCAAGCTAAGAAAGAGCAATAAAATTTCGTCGTTGCTTGTTTACGTCCTCCATAAAACGCGAAATTAGACATTTTCACGTCGTAGTCGTGCAAAAAAGAGAAAGAAATGTACAAAAAAGTGTGATGCACGTGCGAAGTTGTTGTTTTGCTTATTAAACCTATTGTTTTTTTTTTGACGTTCTCGTTGTCGCCCGCGTCGTTGGATCTTAAAGTCCCTAATATACAGAGAACGCGCCGCCACAACAGTTTTTATGTGTGAACAGAAGCCCAATCCGATATCATTTTTCGTGGCGGCCCAAAAGCTATCTGATATAGTGTGAACACCTCTTCGATGTTTCACTCTCTACTTTAGACATCGGTGCGGCGCAGCTTTGCTCCGTCACAGAAAAGGCGCCGCCACAACAGTTTTTATGTGTGAACAGAAGCTCAATCCGATATGATTTTCGTGGCGGCGCAAAAGCTTTTCGGTATAGTGTGAACATGGCCTGTGAGTAAAGTTTGTTTGTGTGAATAAAATTATATATTAGAAGACCCATAGCCATCGGATGTACGAGTCGTAAGCAGTAAAAGTAACAGTAAATGTAGCGGCCAGAATCGTTGCCCTTACCCCAAAACATGAGCATATATATCATTTGCATTGCATTAGCTGTATCACTTCCAGTGGCTTCTGATAGAAGAGCGTGAAAATTTTACGATTTTTTTCAATGTTGAAATGGCTTGGCCTCATAATATTTCGTCAACCTTGTTAAGATGTTCACCACAAGGCGCAATCTAAGATCTGTCAATGGCCTCCGTCTGCGTGATGTACATGTTGGATACAATTTGTACAACTGCGGCTTGCAGTCTTTTTTCACTGGCAATTTTCAACCCAGTTGTGGAATCACATTCCACTATAAATTAGATCTCGTGACAATTTCAGTGACTTTGCTACACATGAAAATTCTGGGGATTTGTATTTGGGGATTGATTGTAGGCCTTGCTCTGATTTAACTTACAGAGGTTTCCTAGCTGTAGATGTGACCCTAAATTTCAGAAGCTGATTACACGATCCCGGAGTGATAGTGACAGTGTGAGTGTTCATGAAAGTGACAGTGAACTTCCATAATCACTAGCTAAAGGGAGGTGCACAAGAAGGCACACCAAAAGTGGACCGAGTGCCGGACAAGTTTTGCATTTCCCATTCCGTTGAGCTGGCTATTTTGAAGCCGCCTAGATTCATTGCCAATTGGAACATAAGCTACAAGCACACTCTCCTTCGCAGAGGTTATTACTGGTATCTTATTCACAAAATTTTGAATGAAACTTTAAGAGTAATTAACGCGTGTGGGATGACGGGAAGAGAGAAAGGCGCGGTTTCCCTCCTTCTTTCTCTGCGTCCGTGTTGCCTTGCGCTTCCCTTTCCCCTCTTCTAGGCCTCCTAGGGACACAAAGAGACAACTGCAAGGGAGAAAAGAACGCGAAATTTCAAGCAAATGCTCTGAGAAAGCAATCTTTAGAGTGAGTTTATTTTAATTTACAGTCGCACCTCCTGAAAACGACCACCCAACGGATGCGAAGATTTAGTGGTCGCTTACGGGAGGTGATCAGTTACGAGAATGTAGAACAACCGACGGTCTCTTTCGAGAATAGGCCCTGTACTTTTTGGAAGAAAATTCGTTGCATGCAAATCATAAGTTTTGATATGTTGTGGCGTTCTTCATATCCATTGAGCAGCGAGGCAGATACAGTGAACTAGAGATCAGACCATATGTCAAGTGGTCGCCGCTTACAGAAGGTTGAAACAACGAAGAATTATAGAAATGGTCTCAAAAGTGCTCACGGTTGCTTACGAGGGGGTGGTCGTTTACGAGAGATTCGAATTATAGAGTTTTGTCGGAAAAAATCTTAGTGTTTTGGATAGATCGTCGCATATGGGCGATGGTCGCTTACATGGGGTGGTCGCACATAGAGGTTTGACTATCAGCACTGGTGTGGGCTTGTCTCGGTGTATATATAACATGAATTGTTTCTCTGCAAAGTGAGATGCACTGACAAATGTTCTTTTATTTCAAATTTCGCTCTTATTTTGAAACTTATGGTCTAAAAATTCATCGCATTTCTTGATCGACACAACGGCAGCAAAAACAGTCAATTCTATGAAAACTGTTGTTAGTGTGTGCTCTACGTCCCTCTGTCAACAAAAAGAATAGCTACCATTCTTCTTGGCCATAATCAGACTAACTGTTAACGGATGCCTTCTAAGGATATCTCATGTGCTTGTGACGTAGCGCGTCCCGATTAAACTGCAGATTAAAGCTCTTTGAACTAGCTATCATAAAAAAATCAATAATTCTTTTAAAAAAAACCCTTGGAGTGCTGATTTTTTTTAAATTTAAATGGCACTAAGTAATTTTTCCTGTTTGTTGTTGGTTGGCTACACCCACTAAAAGAAATTCTCTTGGCTCTACATCACACGTAAGACTATACCTCCCTCTGAAATACCAACCCTTTTGCATTTTAAACTTTCATTCTGTTGCTTGGTGTTCGGGTTAATGAGATTTGACTGTATTTAGTCTTAAAACCTTTCCTTTGAAACTTTTAATTTTCACCTCCGGACTTTAATTACACGGCTTAGCATTGTGAACAACCTTGTTTTCTTTATGCAGAGAGTTGAAGCGCCTGATGAGTGTCACCTTGTCGCCGATTTACGCGCACTTTTCAGAGACCTTGACAGGCCTTGCTACCATCCGAGCGTTCAGAGATGAAGCAAGATTCAAGCAGGAAAATGAACACAGGCTGGAAATCAACCAACGAGCAAACTTTTGTGGTAAGAAAATTCGACTTCGGAAAGTTCTCGCAGCGACCAAAACAATTTCACGCTCAGAGTCCTCAGCTTTTTCAGGTGGTCATTAGTTGAGAGAGAATTTTGGGACACACCCAAAAAACCGAGAATGTTACTGTTAAAGTTGTTTGAAATAGTTTCATTGTAATTAAATCATTGAATCATTCTTCTCATCAGCTCTTGTGGCGTCACAGTGGTTAGGCTTATTCTTACAGTTTATTGGTGTTGCTATGGTAACTGCAGTGGCGTTTATTGCGGTGCTTGAGCATCACTTCAGTACCGTTGATCCAGGTGAGTGTTTTTCTTTGTGTGCATGTACAGGTAGACTTCCTCGCAGATCGTGAAGCCATAGCTTTTATTAGATTCCAGTAGAATCCTACAATGTCCTAAATGAGAACGTGGCGTTCTTCAGGGTATGTCGTCAGTCCTTCAATAGAGGATAACGCTTCTTCAAACTCCAAATGCGAGGTCTAAATTCAGTTTTCTTAATTTTACATGTCCATCCAGTTATCGTATTCCCATACAGTGTGCCGCCTATTGTCGTTCTGTGCTATTTTCCGGAAGCGGCGTGGCTGAGAGGCCAGAGCGTTGAACCTGGAGGCACCAAGCCCAATTCTCGCAACTGGATTTCTCCTCGGTAGTCCTGAGTTCAAATCCTCGCCCACGCCTGAAAGATAGCCAACTGGTTCGCCTCCTACCGGATGGAAATCTTAACCTTGTTTCAGTTGTATTGCTTGTTTCATAAAAGCCCCACAAGGGTGAAGATATATCCTTCTTGACTTTCTGTTACTTTGAGTCCCGGCGCTCTTCGTAGAGCACTGATGTCCTGAGCTCGTTAACATCCCTTAAACTGCGCGACTGTGTTGTGTATTTATGTTCTCCATCAACTGTGAGGGGTCCTTTGAATCTTGGCTACTCTTTTTAGAATGAGTGATTATTAAGGGCTAGGCACACAGCCCAGAGGGGTACGCTACCCTCTTTCTTCCCACGACTCCGTGAAATTTAAGATGCCATGGTGGTAACATCCAAGTGGTATTTATTATTATATTGCTCCGTATGTGTTCCTCTAAAGGTCTGGTGGGTTTGGCAATTTCGTACGCGCTGTCAGTCACGGACCACCTCTCAGCGATGGTGACGTCATTTACCGAAACTGAGAAACAGATGGTGAGCGTGGAGCGAGCGGTCCAGTACATTGAAGATGTTCAGCCTGAAATCAGTCCTAGTGGCACGGTTAGTATAAATAATAAGTGGCTCGTTTTTACTTCCTGCAACCTCTTACTCCCTTGAACCTGGCTCAGACAGGAGATGATAAGAGTTAAAACGCTCTTAACCGTCTTGCGGTCAGTTCGATTCTCTAGATTCGCGCATAATTGCTTTAGATATCTCATTTTCTTTGGTACAACAATTCAGCGAGGCTCTTGCACCTGATGCGAACAGAGCAATGTCTTGTGATTCTTGTGCGCCTCCAAAGCATTTAATGAACTCTTATATTTATATGACTTAAGGCGAATTTTGTACTCTTGGTTACTCTCAAAGACTTCTCCCTCTCATATGTTCTTTTTAATCTATAGACATTTGCGACGTCTTGTACATGATTAACTTAACTCTCAGATAAACCCATGAGTACTGAAACTAACGGCGCGCACGACTTGTACAGACTTCGCCCGCCCGCCCGTATTTTAAAATTAAATTTTACTTTCAGGTCATTTCCACTTGGCCATCTCGTGGTCAGCTTACCTTCCAGAAAGTCAGCCTTGTTTATCGGTAAGGGCACTCGAAATCGTCGTATAATTAACTCTTTAAAATTACCATGACTAATCTTATAACTAATACATAAATGATGAAACAAAACCGCTGTAATTGCGAAACGTTTTAACACAATGGGTTATTTCCCCTAAATAGGTTTTGCTAAGCGCGAACGAAGAGCCCGCTTGAGACATCGTCACGCAGAGAACGTGAAGCTGAGGCCAAGCCCACGAAAAAGTGCGAGACACTCGATCCCAGCACCGTAATACATGTACATGAATCAGTTGCTTGCTACGTACGCTTAATAAATAGTGAAAACCCTGAGATGTGCGCACTAGTTGTATGAAGCGCGCAACATTTCGTATGAGCCAAAGTGCACTTGGCATTTAGTTTTCGGCATTTCTAAACGTTTATGGCAAATTGACTGTTCTATCTATCGTTACCGACTTGGGTACCAGAGATTATGTCTTAACTATCTAAGTGTCATATTTACACATCGAAATGTGTGTTACCCATTCCTCTGGAATGCGCTCTCGTGGAAAAAGATTCCCTATTTAACTATGTGAAATTGTCTTTCTTTTGCTGTCTTTGTCCCGACAGAGTTGGTTTGCCTCGTGCTTTGCGCGGAGTTACATTTTCAACATATGCAGGAGAAAAGGTAACGGGCAACTATGTAGTACACCAATAAAGAAAACAATTAGTTTTCTTTACTGGAACGTTAGAGGCCGACTAGCAAATTCAATATCAGAATAAAGGACTCATATCAATGGAGGTTTTTCCTTTTTGTAGCTTGGCATTGTTGGCCGAACGGGATCTGGCAAGTCTAGTCTCTTCCAAGTACTGTTTCGCATGGTCAACAGATTCGAAGGAGCTGTACTTCTAGACGGTATCAGTTTGGCTTCTGTACCACTGAACATTCTGAGGTTAGTATTTCTGTGCCTGCCTAGTTTGATGTGCTGCCTGTTTCTTAACTGTAACTGCCTCCGACTGTAATGCAAGGTTAAATATCGTCTTCTTAGTTTTTGCGTCGACAAGGCGTTCCCCTTTATCCCGTATGAAACTTAATCCTGTACGCTGCAATCGTGTGGTACCCGACACCAACGAACCCTGTATGTATATTTGGTTTCAATTCTGGTGTCCTTGCACAGAAAAGATTTCAGCACTTTTATGATGGCCTAAGTAGCTGGCCGTTTTCTTGTATAGCGATGAAGATAATTTTACGGTAATTCCTCTCCCGGCTTCACCGCGAATTTCTCTCGGCAAACGAAACCATGCAACAGCTGTGCACGCTACGGTCCTGGTAGCGGTGCTCAGAATACGGTTTATTTTATTTACCAGGTCGATGATGATGATGTTTTTCATAATTATTTCCTAATCTAAATGTTTTTCAATTAATTTATCTGATCTTGAAAGGTATGTGTCATCTGTTTTTTCGTAGATCGCGGTTGGCTATTATTCCTCAGGATGCTTTTTTGTTTAGCGGTGGAGTGCGAAATAATCTTGACCCGTGGAGGAAGGTAAACTTTCACTGGAAAAAGGAAACACCATAACACCATAGCATAAGATATGGATTTGAAGTAGGGAGAGAAAAGGAAATGAACTGTAATACTATGGCACTCAAGTAGGTTTGTGTTTAGTCTGTTCTTTTGCTTTGCTTTTCACAGCATTCTGACTCGCAGTTATGGACAGTTTTAGATCGTTGTCACCTGGAACACGCTGTAAGACAACTCGGTATGTTTACAACATAGGGTTTTTGTTGACTTGTTTGTAATCACGCAGTCTTCTGTGTAGGACCCTGGCAGATTAAGTAATTTGTGAGTGAATCATTCATCAGCTAATAATGACAAAAGAGAGTGTTATATGTTTTGCGAGTACTGTTTCTTTATATATTTTTTTTTGAGACTGCTATTTCGTTATATGTTTTTAGACAATTATTTCGTAAGCTGCTCATTAATCGTCCATAATTCCAAGAAAAAAGAGTGTTTGAAAACTTATATGTACAAGACTTAGAGCGTAGTCTTTCGAATCGGCTCTAAAGCGTTTATACAAAACCTGAGTGATCAGCTGAATTTCAGTTCTTCACTGCTCTATATCTCTCCAGGGGGCCTGGACGCTGATGTCGGTGAACGTGGCCGTAATTTTTCAGTTGGTCAGCGGCAGCTCATCTGTTTAGCCAGAGCTCTTTTGACACGATCGAAGGTAATTAATTACTTTGGAGAAAAATTCTGAGGAAACTTGAAAACTCAATTTATGACAACCCCATTCTTAATTACAGGTTACCAACATAGCCGGCTTTTTTGCCAGGCGTTCGAAAGGGAGTTGGGAGGGGGAAACGTTGCGCTCAAAAACACCCAATTTTGCCCTCTCCACCCTCTATTTCGGAGGCTTGCCTCGCGGGGCGAATACCAAGATGTCCAGGCACTCATATTTCAAATTAAACAGACATAATGTAAGCATAAGAGCCGATCAAACCTTCTCCATATTATTTTTTATATTTCTTGGAAAGACCTTTGGAATTTTAAATCTTGTTAGTGAGTTCAAAATATGGAATACAATATCCTATTGCCTTCTACTTTTTCAGCAGCAGTAGAAAAGCAAGAATGATCGTCTCTCAGTAGAGCTGGCGGTATTTAGTTACAACCCCGAAGGAAACTCTACGACAGTTCCATTTACTTTCTAATTTCGCGCCATTCTCCCATGTTTTTCTTAGCCTAATCAGGACAAAGATACCCCCTTCCCTATTCAATGTTGTTTTGATCTAAAAAACAACAACGCGAATATTTCTAGGGTTACACTAAACAACATTGGAATAATGGGGGGACAATCGTTTATTTAGCGACGGTTTGCATCTGTTCATGGTGAAGGGAAAAACTACGAGTAATGCCTCTACAAGTTTTGTCCTAGTTTGTAACATTCTGCTCTCTTAAATTTTGGGTGTTAACTTCTCCCTTTTTTGCGACCACTTTAGACAGGGTAGCAGGCGCCGTTTAGTTTCTTTGCAGGCCGCGCGAGCAGAAAACACGAAGGGAGAGGAGGCCTACTTCACCCTTAAAAACCGGCGCCTGCTACGCAGGTTATGACCACTTAGGAAACTCTCGTATTGTTCTCAGGTGCTGTGTATTGATGAAGCTACTGCAAGCGTGGACCTGGAAACAGACAAACTGATACAGCAGACGATCAAAAGTGAATTTAAGGAGAGTACTGTTTTAACCATTGCTCACAGGTTAGATACGTTGATAGTAGCGAGGAATGATGTGGTATTCATTATCGAGTCGGCTAACTCAAGTTGGACACAGAGTTGAAATCCATCAGTTGAGTTGGCGGCTTGTTCTAGAGTACGCTAAAAATTTGACCTTAGAGAAAGACACGATCCATAAGCGAAATCTTTTGCCTTTCTTTTTTTCTTAATTAATAGAGAGAATTAGAGTTCGTTTTGCCGCTGACGGCAAACGTCAGTTGACAATTTTTCAAATTAGGATATGAGCTGATAAAAACAGTCTTTGCAAGATAACCCTCATGTGAACCTGAAACGAAAGTAGTCTACTAATTTTTCTGTAGATGTAATCAACAGATGACGAAAGGGAAAAGTTGGTCACGTGATAAAAACTTACGTTTTCCGCTTTTGTAAGTGATTTAAGTCTCCAAATTCTGACCATCTGCAGTGAGTACGCGGCACGCGTGCTCATCATATCGAAAACCAAGCGATGCGTCTGAGCCCCTTTTTTCACGATTGTAGGTGACAGGCGTTGAACGAAAGGACGTACCATGAACTTGGACTTCTCGAATACCGGCTACGTTCCTAGCTGTTTATGTCTACTAAGATCGCGTCTAACGCCTTAGACAATTATGACCCGTTAATATAATAATAGAAAGCTGCGCATGAAGACTGCTACAATTCAGAAGAGTTCCTTTGTAACTTGACGCTTCTCTCATTTTCTTAGCCTGTTAGCAAGTGGGTGATATTTGGGAGCTTATACAAAGACGTTTTTGAGAGACACACGTCAACCGGAAGTGGACCTTTTGCATTGCTGGCCAGTGGTTTTGCCCAGATTTTTGCGCAAATCGTCTCTATAACAGTAACGACCCTTAGCAATACATATTTGGTTGCGTCAAGGCACATTAAAAGGGGAAAAGCCCGACTTCCGGTTGACAAGCAAGCTTTCTTAATCTTTCAATGATTAATCAATGCAATCTCCCTTGTTTTAGGCTTAATACCATCATGGATAGTGACCGTGTTCTTGTCATGGATCGAGGGACTGTGATCGAGTTTGACACCCCACAAGCCTTGCTGAGAAACAAACATTCTTTCTTCTATGGACTGGTGCATAGAAGCAAATCTGACCAGAGTTAAACTTTGCTGAAACGAAGATGGAATATATAAAAAGTTTAGTGAAGCTCACAAAACCACTAAGGGAAAATTATTTATTTTAGGAGGAGAGAGGTTGTTCTATGGTTACAGAATTAAATTTATTGGATAGCTTTCAACAAGCAAAATTGGAAAAATAGATTTAGATTGTAGTAGCCACTGAATCTGAAGTTTGGTCTCAGTTGCATAACTCTATAGTGGTGTGAGTAAGAAGTTGCACTCCCAAGACTGCTTCTTCTATCCACAAGGGTCTCAAAACTTTATAGCAAAAATGATCAACCGACTGAGATTATCCTACTGTGCATGAGGACAAAAATGATGACTTTTGTTCCAAACTTAACTCACAGACAGATAGAAAAGTCTTAAAGCAAAAAAATTAATGTAGATTACAATACCTGGTAAGAAATTTAATGTTTGTTGAGTCAGGCATTTGAATCAACACTTGTTCTCTACTGTAATGACTAGTACCCCGTTTCTGCCTGAAACATTTAACTTCAAAGGTATCCTTTGCTTAGAAATGATACGCATACTCACTAGTTGGGTTCAAAGAACTTATTCCATTCTCCTAATTCTTTTCAAAAACTATATTGTTATAAATTCACACTATTAATGTCAGGGCTGCACAGGCAACCCAAGGAGATGTGGGTCATTACTACATAATCAATTGAACAGGAAGGTGGGGGTTGTATGGAAATGGTGTATTTGTGTTGTAAGGAACTTGAAATTTAGAAGAGTTTTCTAAATTAAAGTTGTTGTGAAATGGTTTGTTGTGTGTTCTCTTTGTCTGTCACTTGTGCAAGCGATGAGTTATTCAACCGGCCCCTGTTGTTTAAAATGTGGATAACTTTTTCCATTATTTTGATAAATCTCCATCCAGTGGATATCGCATTCCTTGAACCTAATACCTGCTGGATAGTGTTTTATCCAGTGGATATAATATATTTATCCAGTGTTTGAACAAGTGCGGCCTGGGTTAATGTCAGTTGTTAGTACAGTAATCCACAAACAGTACAATATACAATTAACAGCAATAGTGGACTAATTCCACTACAGTAAAAAATACAAAAATTAATACAGAAATAAGAAAAAAGGTAAAAAATTGAAGGTGCAATAAATAAATAAATAATAACAGTAATAATAATATAAAATATTCTTGGAATCCTGAATTTAAATGACATCTTCTCAGCATGTTGAAACATCATCGCATTTACCGGTAAGCCCCACCATATACCAATAACTTGTTTTTAAAACTACGGTACTAATTTTTGGCATCATCAATGTAAGTCCAGTCCGTTGCATATTCTGCAACCTTGTCAATATGACCGACCATAATCATGACCAACAACAATCACAACGATGTCCAGTGATGATGTTCTTCACAAATTATTTTACCTTACTAATACCACCAATAAAATGCCTAGTAGTGCTAGTTGATGAATTAGATGCAATCAATCTGACAATGACAACACAAATATTGCTTCTTCATTGAAAGTTGTTTAAAAGTACCTAGTTCAGTGTTACAGTGATAAGTGCGTTATCTGCAAGATTGATAGTTGGAACTACATTAAACTGGTTATAACATTACATGAATATAGAGCAATTTTTGTATGGCTTTGAAATAACAAACGCATGAAAAAAACAGAAACAACAACAAATAGAGCAATTTGATTGGTTTATCGAACGGCTACAAACACACATAGCCTTTGGTTGGTAAAGCGAACGCTCAAGTGAAAAAACTTCATGCCCGAGAACTTTCTAGAAATCAATAGATACTTGCTTTGACATCAGACTGCAACATGATTGGCCAATCGAAAAATGTTTTCTCCGTTTTAGGGTTTTCTTTGGCAGGAAAATGAAGGGTCCATGTTTTGATCTCTTCATCCATAGGCTGATACAACAAATAACAAACAATTCCCGAAACCACTTTTCAAAGTCATACAAAACTCTCTCTATCTTTGATAGGTTTAGTGTGATGCTTCCCTGCTCAGTGTCATGGCCCAATGGTGGCTTTGTTAACCCTTTAACCCCTAAAAATGACCAACATTTAATTTCTCCTGATGGAAGTAAATAATGTATAATCATTTACGTGTTTACTCCCTACTGCTATTTTTTTAATAAACAACATTGCTGATTGTTGCTTAGCATTAAACTTGAAAAGTTTCAATCCATGTCCATCCTTTTCATCTATCACAACAGATGATAGGAAACAGTTTCAATGTATCAATATTGTCTGGACCATTATTTTAGAATTCATCACCTGATGTGAGGATATGTCTTAGCTCTTTTAAAAAAGATAGCAAATAGTGTGACAGAGTCATAGCCCCTTTAAGGAAAATCATTATTTTTTCTACTTCAACTGTGTTGTGAAACATAAACAAAGTGGCAACTTTGATGAAAAACTTGTACGTCACACAATCAACTCTCAACTCTCTGGGTGAGAAACACTGACACCAAGTGTCCATTTCAGAGAGCCACAGTAAAGAACTGCAGATTGGCAGAGACCAACTTAAAATGTCAGTTGGAGGTGTCCATCACTAAGAGACAGTTGACTGTAATGTCAATTATGAATCAGTTTAAACCAGCTCCCAGTTGACTTGCCAGCTCAACTGGTTAGAGCACTGCACCCATATCATAGAGGCCGGGGTTCAAATTGCAGCAAGCCTGATATTTTTCAGGCTTTCTTTTTGCAACTGCATTGGTTTTAAATATCCATGCATCACACATGATGTACTTGAAGATATTTTGGGAATTTTAGGTAAGGGTGATTGACCTTTAGACTAACAAAAACAAATATTATTATATGGCTGGAAATTTCCTCCCAATAGCATGCACTCTCATTGTTTACTTCAAGGTCACATGACATCTTACAATGAAATGATTTTCCGTCATAATCTCTGGGTGGACAAAATTGTAAAATCTATGATAATACCTATCAATTATATTGCACAAATTAACATAAACATAATTTACGATCAAATGTGCCAGACATTATGATGTCAGAGAGTAGTAACAGTGCACTGTTACCCATGAATGTTGACCAACGACCACCATTACAGTGAGGTTAAATGAATTTCCAGCTTCTTTTCTATATAACAATTTAGCTATACAAAATTGCAAAAAACTTTTCTTAAAAACATTTAAGAAATTTTAAAAAAGTTAAGAAATACGCGATGTTTCGACATTAGTGGGCCTCATTATCAAGTTTTTTATATGTTTCTTTCCTTTTAATGAACTATTGTTTCTCTTGTATTTATAGAACATTAATTTATATTGTTTTTCTTTTCACTTGATAAGGGCGTCTGGTAACGTTGAAACGTCGTGTAATTTTAAACTTTTTAAAAATTTCTTAAATGTTTTTAAGAAAAGTTTTTTTGCAATTTTTTATAGCTAAATGTTTTAAAAAGTTGCTTCTTTTTAATCTATCTAACAAATCACTGGAAGACAGGTCCCCTCAGCAAACCATTAAACCATAATTTTGTTTTCCTCCTATCTCAATGTTTGAGATTTATTGAGATTTTCAGGAAACAAAATTAACCATTTTCCTTGGNCTCAACTCTCTGGGTGAGAAACACTGACACCAAGTGTCCATTTCAGAGAGCCACAGTAAAGAACTGCAGATTGGCAGAGACCAACTTAAAATGTCAGTTGGAGGTGTCCATCACTAAGAGACAGTTGACTGTAATGTCAATTATGAATCAGTTTAAACCAGCTCCCAGTTGACTTGCCAGCTCAACTGGTTAGAGCACTGCACCCATATCATAGAGGCCGGGGTTCAAATTGCAGCAAGCCTGATATTTTTCAGGCTTTCTTTTTGCAACTGCATTGGTTTTAAATATCCATGCATCACACATGATGTACTTGAAGATATTTTGGGAATTTTAGGTAAGGGTGATTGACCTTTAGACTAACAAAAACAAATATTATTATATGGCTGGAAATTTCCTCCCAATAGCATGCACTCTCATTGTTTACTTCAAGGTCACATGACATCTTACAATGAAATGATTTTCCGTCATAATCTCTGGGTGGACAAAATTGTAAAATCTATGATAATACCTATCAATTATATTGCACAAATTAACATAAACATAATTTACGATCAAATGTGCCAGACATTATGATGTCAGAGAGTAGTAACAGTGCACTGTTACCCATGAATGTTGACCAACGACCACCATTACAGTGAGGTTAAATGAATTTCCAGCTTCTTTTCTATATAACAATTTAGCTATACAAAATTGCAAAAAACTTTTCTTAAAAACATTTAAGAAATTTTAAAAAAGTTAAGAAATACGCGATGTTTCGACATTAGTGGGCCTCATTATCAAGTTTTTTATATGTTTCTTTCCTTTTAATGAACTATTGTTTCTCTTGTATTTATAGAACATTAATTTATATTGTTTTTCTTTTCACTTGATAAGGGCGTCTGGTAACGTTGAAACGTCGTGTAATTTTAAACTTTTTAAAAATTTCTTAAATGTTTTTAAGAAAAGTTTTTTTGCAATTTTTTATAGCTAAATGTTTTAAAAAGTTGCTTCTTTTTAATCTATCTAACAAATCACTGGAAGACAGGTCCCCTCAGCAAACCATTAAACCATAATTTTGTTTTCCTCCTATCTCAATGTTTGAGATTTATTGAGATTTTCAGGAAACAAAATTAACCATTTTCCTTGGGACCAGTCATTAAGTGTTTATTACATGTTGTTGTTCTCATGGTGTTGCAGAAACCTGCCAGTTTAACATACAACATTGCTAATAGGTTACCAGCTATTATATGGGTGCCTCCGATCTCCTAACAAGTTCTGCTTCTGTTGCGGCAACAAGTTCAGGTGCTCTGAGATGACTGCCTTCCAGTGACTTCACCAGCTCCTCCAAAGCCAAGTCATTCAAGCTTGAAAAATCAGTCAGAAGAATTTCCTTTGTTAACTTGAGAAACAGTGGCTCAGTCATAAGAGAAGCATTGGTAAACGCCCAGAGGAATCTTA